TTGCTTCATCTCCTTTTTTTGATCTTTATCTTTGAGTCATATATTCAATGTGGTGGAGTTATGGTACTTGTTTCAGTTTTATGGGGATTGTATATATGCTTTTGTTGGCCTTCTCTAGCTATTTCTTATGGAAATTGGTGTAATGGTTTACATGATTTGAATACTTAGCAAAGATTTGAAAATTTGTTATTCTGTTTGCTCAGTTTTGAATCCCCTAATAATTTTTTCTTATCGGATGAGGTAAGAAACTTGGAGTATGGGTGATGTTTCATATGAGGAATCTACCAATGATTTTAAAGCGCGCTTCACTAGCAAAACGAAGCGAACCACATGATGACCGCTTCACTTTGCTGAAGAAAGCTTCAAAGCATAAAAATTTAATTTATAGGTTTTTTTTTGCAATTTTTAATTATTGCTATAAACTTTTAGAAATTATTCTAATTTTTTTTTGTAGGTTCACCGTCAATATTTGCTTCAAATTAAGTATTTGACCACATTTTTCTTTATTTTATATTACTTTTAAGTCATACTTTATATTTTATAATTATTAATGAATGTAATTATACATTAATAGTTTTATATAACCTATTAGCGCTTTAATTAATAAAAATGCAATTTTGCTCAGTGTTTTGCGCTTTGAAGCAAAAATAAAGTCTTGTGCATTGCATTACGCTTTGTGCATTGATAACACTGGAATCTGCCTTCTGCAATAAGGGTGAAACTTTATTTTTCTTTGATCTCATTAGAGAATAGTTTAATTGGTTCCATGTCTTCATTTCCTCATCTAGTTGGAACCAAAGCAATTAACAAGTTCTATGGTTCCCGACCTCGCCGGAGAAGGCGAGGTTTAGCTCTTCTAACGAGAAAGAAATTGTTGCATTTTGGAGAGGAAGAAGAAGACTGTAGCGAGGGTCTTTGAAGCAATAGTTTTGTACTTTTATGTAAGTTTTAGGTATTATTTTTGTATATTTAAGGTGTTATATATGTTAATTATAAAGAATTGGATGGTAAATATGTAAATTCCCCTCTATAATGTATAAAAAAGATTTCAAAACATAGGTATTTTTTAATTTTGGTTAAATTCCATAAGGAAATAAATAAGGAGCTTGCACGGAAAAGTATGCAACTCGACTTTGTTCGTTTACAACCCCATTGCTGGAGTTCTTAACATCAGTTGCTGACTAATGCTATTTTTTTATAGAGGCAGTTTGGGATCACTTTTGTTTTTTTTTATTTTAATTTGTTTTGTTTATGTTTTGATTTAAAACAAAATTTTTTTGATTGGTTTGATTAAGATATGATTATTTTTGAATTACTCAAAATACCTAAAAGTTATTTTGATTGTTTTAAAAAACATGTTTATTTGTTTATAGAAAAAAAAACATTAAAAATGCACTAAAAAACATGTTTTAAAAGACAACAACAACAAAACCTTAATCCCACTATGTGGTGTCGGCTACATGAATCCTTTTTCTCCACTGCGTCCTATTTAGTGCCATATTTTCATTTAGTTCTAATAAATTAAGATCATTTTTTATACAATAAGCCCAAGTCTTCCTAGGTCTTCCTCTGCCTTTCTTAACATAAGTCGAATCTAAAACATTTATTCTCCTAATCGGATCATCAGATGGTCGACGCTTAATGTGACCAAACCTTCTAAGAAGACTTTCTTTAATTTTGTCCGTCATAGGAGCTACACCAACCCAATCACGAATATATTTATTTCGCATTTTGTCTCTAAGTGTAAAGCCACTCATCCACCTAATCATTCTCATTTCGGCAACACTTAACTTAGTATTATGCTTCTCTTTTAAAGGCCAAAATTCAGCGCCATAGAGCATTGCAGGTCTCACTACCGTGTTATAAAATTTTCTTTTCAGTCTAAGCGATACTTTTCTATCGCACAAAAGGCCCGAAGCATTCCTCCACTTCAAACAACCAACTTGAATTCTACTATTAACATGCCCATCTATATAACCATCGCTTTGAGAACACCCAACCCGAGATATTTAAATCGTTTACACCTTTTAATAATTTGATCACACAAAGTTGCACTTCCGTTACTAGAGCTACTACTAAAATTACATTTCATGTATTTGGTCTTAGTTCTACTTAAATGAAGGCCTTTAGACTCCAATGTAGACCTCCATAATTCAAGTTTTT